CCCGCCCCTCCCAGGAGGCCCGGTCCCGCCCGTTCCCTTCCCAAGCGCAGTGCGGCCGGTGGCGCGGCCCGAGACTCCCGGTCAGGTCCCACAGAGCTCCGGGGCCGCGGCGGCGGGGCGGCGGCACCCTGACCACCAGGAGCCACAAAGGCCGGAAGCACATTTGCGTGCGGAGGCCAGTCGGGGCCCTGCTTGGAGGGCTCTGTACTCTCTAGGCGCCTCGGAGGCTGTCGCTTCTCGGTGGCTTAAACCCTTTGGGATCCCAGGGCGAACGCATTCGGAAACACAAGCTAACCCGGCGGGACTGTGCATTCTGGTTTCCTTGTTGTTTCCTCCACCAGAAACACTGTTCTTCAGATATGCACAGGGCTAACTTCATCTCTTTCAGGTCTTAGTTAAAATGTCACCTCCTTAATGTGACTGACACCAACTTTCCTATTCGATACTTCAGCTAGCCCCTTCCATGTCAGGATTTCTGATCTCTGTACCCCGATTTTACCTTATATTTTTTTTAAAAAATCATAGTGTTCATCAACTACCATTCTACCTTATGTATTTATTCTGCTTATTATTTTTGTCACTCCCCACTGGAATATTAGCTCTCTGGGGTCAGGAATCTGCCCTTTTACTTGCCACTGTTGTATCCTGGGCACCTAAAACTGGCCTAGAGTAGTCACTCAATGAACATTCTCGTTTATGTAGTAGAGCTCTTACAGGATAAATACTTGGAAGCTGCTGGGACAATGTGTATCTAATTTTTAACTTTATATTTTGAAATTGCTTGTTAAGATGAACGTACCAATTTATACTCATAAACTGTATGAGAGTTACAATTTTTTTTTTTTTTTACAAATGTTATTGCTCAAGTGTGGGTATGAAATGGCTTAAAATTGGCAGTTCCTTAATTACTAATGATTCAGCATATTTGCTTATGTTTATGGATTGCCTGGACATTTTTTTTTTCTTTTTTTGGACTTTTTCCCGTTTGGTTGCTAGATTTTGTTTTTAATTTTTAAAACATGTTCATTATACATTCTGTGTACTGATTGGTTCTTTGTTAATTACAGATGCTGCAAATATCTTCTCCCAGTGTTTTGCTTGTCTTTTACAGTTACTTTCTGGTGTCTTTTTAATATAGTTTTAATTTTGAATGTGGTCAAATTTAATTTAATTTTTTTCTTTACAGTTTGTATGTTTGTGCATTTAAAGCAAATCTTGTGTTACATGAGGTCATAAAGAAATTAACCTAAATTTTCTTTTTAAAGTCCTAAAGTTTTGCTTTTTTACTGTTTTTAATTTTAATTTTTAAAAATTTATTGATTTTTGACAGAGAGAGAGAGAGAGAGGAGAGAGAAGCATCATTTTGTTGTTCCACTTATTTATGCATTCCTTGGTTGCTTCCTGTATGTTCCCTGATGGGAGATCAAACCCCAACCTTGCCATACTGGGATAACGCTGTAACCAACTGAGCTATCCAACCAGGGTTTACTGTCTCTAATCTTACTGGAGTTGATTTTTATGCAGGGATCCAATTATTTTTTAATTTTTCCACTTTGGTATTCAGATACCACAGTACTACTTGTTAAGTAGCTCCTTCTTTCCTCACTCATTTGTAATGCCACATTCCTCACATGTCAAATACCCATAAGTGCATATTTGTTTCTCAGTTCTCACTTCTGTTCTATTGGTTTATTTGTGTCTAATTGCTCCAGTACAACACTGTCTTAAGTATTATACATTTATAATAAACCCATATAGAAGATGAGAAAGTTTCTGCATCTCCATTTGCTCAAAAAATTCCTTGGGTCATCTTCACTCTTTCATTATTCCATATGAATTTAGAATCAGCTAGTTAAGTTCTACAGAATACATTCTTGTCTTTTGATGGGCTTTTCATTGAATTTGTATATTAATTTGGGAAGGAATGACATCTTTATGACATTGAGTTCTTCTATTTACAGACATGGTATACGTCTCTATGATCTATCCTTAATAAATTAACTTTTATACTGTTTCCATTAGGGTATCTTATATATTCCTTTGGCGCTGTAATTGTTGTCTTTTAAAAATTACAATTTTAAATCCGTGCTTGTAGCCGGGCCAGAGTGGCTCAGCGGTTAAGCATCGAGCTATGCTCTAAGAGACAGCAGTTCCATTTCCCGCAGGGCGCCTGCCCGGGGCGCGGGCTCCATCCCCAGGAGGGGGCGGCAGGAGGAAGCCGATCAGTGACTCTCGTCACTGATGTTCCTCTCCCCTCTCCCCT